TAGAATGTTAGGTTTAAATTTGTTAATTAGAATAATAATTGATACATTTTTCGGTTTACCATATTTTATAACACATTTATTAAGAAATTATTATTTTTAAATTTGAATTAAATGTGAAAAAGTTAAAAGCATCAAAGTTTAATAGTTGAATTGGTAAATGTTGTGGGGTGTGTTGAATTGAAAAGTGTACCAATTAATATCTATAAATTTATTAAAATAAACCCAATAAAAAATCTGTTTAGTGATGCTATTTTTTATTTTGTTTTTTGTTTTGTTTTAATTATCAGGGATAAAAAAATGAAGGATAAGTTATTTTTTGTTTTGTTTTAATTGTTAAAATTTTGAATAATTTTAAATTAAAATAAAAAATCTAATAAATTAAAAAGTATCAATTTTGGTTTAAACTTGTACCAATGATTTTAATTATGGAAAAGTAGGTATAAATCTCTCTTGCATAAAATTAGATAAAAAATACTCTAAAATTATATTATTTTAGTAAAATCTCATTGAAAAATACCAAAATATCCTATTTTTAAAGTAGTGATGAGGTTGTTTTAGTTTTTTCTTGTGGTATTTTATTATAATGACATAATTTAAAGTATTTTTTCACCTAATGTTTTATAATATAGGCTAATACTCATTAATCTCTTTTAATTAATTTGATTTTGAGATGTCAATTTTAATTAAGATTCTTATTTTTTATTGAAAATAAAAATTGTGAATTTTTTGATAAAAAAATTTATTATGAAATGTACAATGTATAGTAGAAGAGAAGGTTTTTTTTTAGTGGTTAAGGTATCCCGAGACAAGTTTACATCTATTTGAAAATTAATCTCTTCCTAATTTGATTAAAGACAACTCATCTAATAATAAAAAATTCATAAAAAAAAAATATTTTTTTATTGATTTTCCTAAAGAATTAAATCTTGTTCAACAAGAAGGAAAGCAAATTTCCTTACTAATTAAACTATAATTAAACTATAACTCCTTTTAATTAAACTATAACTCCTTTTAATTAAACTATAACTCCTTTGGTTAGATGAACAGTTGTTGTATCCAAAGAAATTGCTTCATAGGTTCACTCATTTTTTTCATTTTTCATTTTTGATAAAAAGTAGGCAAGAAAAGGCAGTTTATATTACTAAACTGAATTTAGTAAACTTATATACAAAGCGAACCCTAAAAATGATCAAATATCTTAATTTGATTAAATAAGAAAAATTGTCCAGAGAACTCTTCAATGATATAAACACCTTTAAGTAACAAATTTATTAACGACTTAAATAATTTAATAGTATTTTTTAAATGAAAGTAAGAGATATTAAATTCCTATCACATAATTTGTAAAATAGATAAATTAAAGGATAAAAAATAATTATTTATCATTATATAATCCATAATCAAATATACATATTAAGTAACAAACTTAGATATATAATAGAAAGAGATATAATTGGAAAAAAAATATAATTGTGAGGCAGGATGACTCTTAATATTAAAATATTTACTCATATACAATAAGTTAAATTATATATTTCAATATAATTTAAATAATAAAACATCTATTTGTATAATTATACATCACTATAATGAAGTTTAATGACAATGTATCAAATGGTAGATGAGAAAGTGAAGTTGATGTTTTAGAGAGTCACTTTCGGCATTATCGCTGGATGGTTACCAAACACAAACCGCTGAAATCATCCAGAATTCTGATAAGACCAGTAAACAAATATCAAATTCAAGACAAAACTGGAGATTAAGGCGACAGGTGACCCAACTCCTTAGCCGCCACTAGAATTCAAAAGACAATAGTATCAATACCTTGATTAAAATAAATAAATAAATAAAATAACCATTTTTTAAAAGAAAAATTAATTTGTCGTCCTCTCAAAGAAAAGTTCATGAATCCACTCAACTCTCCTTGGAATTTTCGCCCATCATTTCCCCTAGTCACTTCATCATTACCACCATTTCTACGAAAATCCCTTTTCGCTTCTCCTAATCACATCCGCAAGCAAGTCTCTTCCATCATAATTCTGAGTTATCAACTAAAAGGACCGGATTGAATTATTGGCAAAATCATGATCACTATGAGATGAGGGACGATTGGCCTTTATATTAGGTCCATCTTATCAGATGTAGAAAGATTTGTTTTTATATTATTTTTTTTAATACTAGATATTTTTTATTTAAAATTTATTTTAAAATAATAGTTATTATTTTAAAATTTAAGAAAGATAAATATTTTTTTATTAAATTTTATAATTATATCTTAATTTTAATTATTTATTTTATTATAAAAAAG